GGCGTGGCAGCATGTCCCGAACAAGGGCTGGCAGGTGGTGGCGCTTCAACCCACACAGCTGCCACAACGCCTCACATGCTAGTGCCTGTGGCTCCACTGCCTGCTTGGGCGTGAGGGCAGCGGGCAATAGAGGGCCATGGGGGGGCCATGGGCGGAGAAAATGGGGCAGCACACCCTGGCCAAGGGCTGGCAGGCAGTGGCGCTTCAACCCACACAGCAGCCACAATGCCTCACATGTTACAGCCTAGGGTTCCACTGCCTGCATGGGCAGGAGGGGCAAGAGTGGGGCAAGAGCAAGGCAAGAGAAGGGACATGTTAAACAGGCAGCACGTCCCATGCTAGAGCAGGCAAATGGTGGTGCTTCAACCCACAGGCGCCACAACGCCTCACACGCCGGTGCCTGTGTTTCCACAACTTGCTTAGTAGGAGGGTAACTGGGAGTGGAGAAGAGAGGGGCAAGAGGGGCAGGAGGGACAGAACGGGGCAAGAGGAACAACAAGGAAGGAGCGAGACGTAGTACACTCAGTAGATAAAACTGTTCTTTGACCGGATTATGGACCTGACAGACTGCAAAAAAAATGAAGCCTACATTGTCGAACAAAATTAACAAATTTGCTTACAATTTATCACGGAGAATTACAATAACTACAGCAAAGGCGAATTACAATAACTGCAGCAAAGGCGAATTACAATAGCTACAAGGACAACATGTGCGCAGCAAAGCAGTTTCTTGCACCGAATAGTGGTCAACACAGAACACGGTGCAACCAGCTGGACATGAATTTTGGCACGAAGCGATATGCATCCCCCAAGGGTATTGACAAGGTCGATACAAAGCAGCGGCGGGCGAAGTCTGAAACGTGCAAATTTTTAGGCGCTAGAATCAAATCTTGGTGAGTTGGAAAATAAAAAAGGCACCTGTGGTATCCGGCCCATTACATCTCCCTTTACTGCAAAGGTTCTGTTCACGCCGAAAAAGGATGGTGGCCTTCAAATATGCATTGACTATCGTACGTTCAACATGGTTACAATCAAGTCTATCCAATCTTAACTACCCACGACCTCCTTGACCAACTTCGCGGCCATATACGGCAGTTACCACCAGATTTGAGTTTTTGCAGACGATTGTTACAAAACCATGTTCCGAACTTGGTACGGAAGCTATGAATTTATAGTTATGTCCTTTGGCCTCACGAGCGCACCTTCAAACTTCCAATTGACCATAAAAGGTTATTCCTGGACATTCTACACAAGTGTGTCACCATCTATCCTGGTAATTAGGAGAACACGTAAACAGAACTTCCGCACCCCCGACAAAATGTGCAATCAACTGCAATCCAACCGCCTCATCACCAAGTGTTATGAGTGGGAGTTTTTTTAACCAAAGTTAGAGTTTTTGGAACACATCAACTCTTGCGACAACATTTAAATCGACCAAGTGAAAAACAGGACCATCCAAGAGTGGAAGGTCCCAACTAATGTGACGGAACTTCAGGGTTTTTTGGGGTACGTAGAAATGTCCAATTGTTTATCCCGAATATGGTGAGGATAACTGGCCCGCTGACCAACCTGCTGCACAAGGATCGCGTTTTTGTGTGTGGGTTAAGGAGGCTCAGGTGGCTTTTCAGGACTTGAAGAATGTTCTGGTGCCCCTCGGCAACTGCGCATCGCTGACGCATCCAAGCCGTTTAAAGTAATCACCCGACGCTTTAGATTTTGCCACCGGTGCTGTGCTCCTCCAGGATTTTGGCAATAGCGTACAGCCATTTGCATACGAATCTTGCATATTGCAGGCCCCCGAATGCAACTACCAGATCCACGGCAAGGAGATGCTTGCCATCATCTATGCGTTCAAACTGTGGCACTGCTGTTTGATTGGCGCCGACGTCACAGTTCGCACCGATCGCAAATTGCTACAGTACCTCTGCGCGCAACCCAACCTCAACTCATGACAAATCACCTACGAGAAAGGGGCGAATAACATTCAGACGCCCTTACCCGCTCAATAGTTTAATCCGCTACATTACTGATTGCCCATTCAAAACTTCTACTTACGAGACTATTCACACACAGCTACACAATTGACCCGTTATTCGGGATAGTAAATCACCAGCAGTCGACAACGCAAAAAGAGAATCTTACCTAAAAGCCATAACTAACCAGGTTTGGGTTCCCGCTTATCGACAATTGCGTCAACTCCTCATCCTCCTTTTTGGACACTTCAGGGTTGTCAAAACGCGTAATATACTGCACCTTCAGTATTAATGGCCTGGCTCACCCTTTAATGTGCTGCAATAAGATCCTCGTGAAGTGTGTGCCAGGCATTGAAGTTGACACGTCAACAGCCAGCTGGATTGCTGCAGCCCTTCGAGCCATTCAACCTACCGTAGGAGCAAGTGACGATGGATTTTGTCACAAAACTACCAGCGGGCCCATCCTGCAATGAGGCGGTGCTCGTCATCGTTGGCGGACACACGAAAATGGCACACTCCGCACCATGTCGCATGACAACCACAGCCAAAGAAACTACGGGCCTCTTCATCTCAACCGTTGTGCGACTGTACAGCATCCGGTCTGCGATTTTTAGCGACAGAGACCCGAAGTTCACATCGAAGTTTTGGAAGGAGATGTGGGTGCAGTACGGCACAAAACTACAGTTCTTGTCGGCCTACCACCCACAAACTGACGAACAGGCCAAGCAAACAAACCAGACGGTGGAGCATCTCATCCGCACGAACTGCTTCGACCTTGTTCGCTGGGAAGCTTTGCTCGCGATCCTGGAAGCTTCTTACAACAACGACATGTCCAAAACGACCAATCACTCGTCGTTTTTCCTTCATCATGGGATGGATCCGTATTGCCAACCACGACTACACTCGACAACCCAGTCCCCAGGTCACAACACTTCGTGACGGAACTATAAGAAACCCGTAGAAAAGCAGCCAAAGCCATTTGCACCAACACTACTGCCCGCGAATACTCCGATCTCCTTCGACGGTACATCATCATGCCAGCAAGGCAATTGGTGCTTCTCAACACCAAGAACCTTTGTTTGCCCGGCTTATCAAAGCTCCAACCAAGATTTTGCGAACCTTTTTGAATTGTGACAATTGCGAGACATGGCATCGCGAAGCTGCTGCAGCTCGACGACTGGCGCGTGCACGACACACTCCACTTCAGCTTACTTCGCAAGTTTTTCCTGGCCACGATAGACATTACCCGCTAGAACGTCGCCTTGAAAGCATGCCCTGTTCAGAACCAACGCTCAATCCGTAAAAAGATCGGGCACCTCGCTTTCGACTTGACGGCTGGACCGTACATGTGAAGACGACACGTGTGTCTTGTACGTTTTGCTTGATGCATCTTCGCTTCTTTGAGATTATCTCACCGACAAGCGAGCTGCGGACATTGACCACATTTTTTAAAGGGGGTGAGGCAAGGGTGGGGGTGGGGTGGGGAGGGGGGGGGGAGTAGTGTAAGGAAAATCTATTTTATCTTATTGGGTTAACTGCTACGCGTACAATCCCCTCACACTTTCGGACTTCGCACGTTCGGTCGACATCCACGATTAGAGGCTACCTCGCTTCACCTTCAGTTTTTCCTCGAACCTGCACCCAACATCGCATTGTTCCCACATACTTAGGGTACTTACTATATTATTATGCGCCTTCATTGTAATGTAACTTCAATTAGTGCTTTGTGATTCGTTTTCCGTGCAAATGTGTTTGACAAATCTTAACAAATAAGTTTCTTTAGTCAAGCACTACAAATCTTCTCTTAGTGCCACAATAAACAGTAAAGTACGGAGTGGTGTATTCCAAGATTGTTATGCTATTTCTTCTTTGGTTCTTAAATGACATACGGTTACGGGTGTAATGGATCGGAGTAGCGAGGATTGCACTAGAGTGTCAAACGAGTACAAAGATGTGAGCGAAGGCATGAGCGAACATTTATACGCGAAACATGCAAACGGTAACGCGGTGCGTGCGAGCTAGCTAGTGCTACGCTGGCAGCGAGGTTCGGGCTAGTCCCGAAGCGTAGGCCGACACGGCCGGGCCAGCAGTGCGTGGTTTGGCAAAACAGTGCGCGCGAGGTTGGCGAAGTCCCGTTAGCAGTACCGTAATAACCCGGATAGAAGCGCAGGCCTCAGATAAGCGCCGGCGCTTATAAAGGGATGAGGGCGCTTATATCCGGTCCTCGATTATAAGCGCACCCCCTAAAAATTTATGATTTATTATAAGCGCATGTCTATTCACATTATTTGAAAATCAGGCGAAATCCAGAAACGAATTTCACCTTACCAGGGAAGCGAAGTACAGTTCCACTTTCCCAGTCACATCACACTTGCTGCGCGTCTAGTCAGCACGCGCTGTCGCTTAGTCAGCATGTGTTGGCAGGGAATCAATCCCTGCCAAGTTGCTCGAGAGTCAAATTCGCGACCCCATATATGTTCGACCCGATTACAATTGGAAGAACGAGATCTACAAATTGGTGTTAAAATATAACTTAATTTCATTTTGCCGTTATATAAGCGCAGGCGCTTATAAATTTCCTCAATTATAAGCGCACCCCCTAAAAAAAGACAGTGTTTTATTACAACCCCAGGGGCGCTTCTATCCGGGGGTATGACGGTAACGGGCGAACAATGGCGGTGCTGTACGCGATGTAGCCGGACTCCGTAAGGAATGCCGAGAAAATTCCTTACACATACTCTTCATAAGGCTCTGGAGAAATTATAGAACACTCGGGTACCCCACACAACCCTTTCGGCTGTTCAACGTAGAGTCTTGTTTCATTCAAAAAACCACCGACGAGGTGAAAGCATCCCCAAAGTCAAGGCGCGAACAGGCCTTGCACGTCAGCAGCATCACCAGATACTGCGCAAGCTTGGGAGTATCTGCACTTGAAACAGCACGGAGGTCGCACAGAGGTCGTACGGAGGTCGCGCAGAGGTCGTACGGAGGTCGCACCGTCCTCCTAGTAGGAGATTATTGCGGTGTATGGCGTCGCCTTGGGCTCAGCACGCGCCCGTATTCGGCGCGCGCTGCAGCCGATTCCCGTCGGTGGACCAATATCCGCTCGGCGCGCAGGTCCTCGCTGCGCCATTGTCGCATCAGTCGCCGGTCCCGTCGTTTGCTCATCGTCATTCTCGCCAGCAACACGACTCTGCGACATTTCGCGGCGACGAGAATCCGCCGGTCGATTTATTCGCTTCCGAGAGTGAGGTGGCAGCGGAGTTCTTGAACCTTCTGGACGCTATCGCGGACGACTCGCAGTCTGACGGCACTCCCATCGGCAGCAGCGAAAGACAGCAGCAGCACGATGATGCTAACTTATTGCACCAGCAGCAGCAGCAAGCCCAGCGGAATCAACTCTCTCGCCAGTTGCCGTCCGCACCATTTCCACCCAACGCCGCCAAGCTGACCTCTGCACCTGCCGCCTCCGCCGCCCATCCTGCCACGCCCGTTTCCGGTTCCGGCAGCGCTGCTGCTGCTGCTAGCTTTGTAGCCGCAGCGCCAGATTCGGTTCGTAGTGGTGCCATGGCGGCCGCAGAAGCGGCAGTGGCAGGCCCTGTGTGGGCGCGGCATGATGGGGAGTCGTTGAGTTCGTTGTATTCACTAGGACCGTCGGAGCCGGAGGCGATTCACGACGGCGCTGCAGCGTGTACGCCGGGGGTTGATGGCGGTGTTTCCGACGACCCCATCGACGATTTTCTCGGCAGCCTGCTGCTCGCGAATCCGGGATGCGGGGGAGGGGATGTCACGGCCGCACTGCCTTGCCCGTCCATTGCGACCCGCGATCATCATTTGCCGCTGCAAGGCGCGCCGATGATTAGCCAGGGCGCGGCAGAACTGCAGGAGTGTTGGTATCCAGACTCGTTTGTGGCACCTCCCGCCTCTACCTCACGGGATTCGCAGCAGCAGCAGCAGCAGCTGGTGATAATGACGACAGAAGGGAACGAGGCGTTGCATGAATTGGCGCCTGTGTTGCAAGGGAGCAAGGGCGAACAGGCATGTGTGGGGACTGACTGGAGTGGCGACGCAGTGGGGGAAATGAGCTTGGGTGGAAGCAAGGCGGGCGCAATGTGCAATGGGGGAGGCGATGTGCCTTTGGAGGGCCCAGCGCCGCCTGTGGAGCCTACTGCCGGTTGTTTTGGGGCGCATGTGGAGGGAAGCGGTGTGGGAAGTGTGGCGACAAGCACGCAGCGGACCGATGATAGCGCGAGTGGGAAGGGCAACGCTGCTGCTGCTGCTGCTGGTGCTGCTGGTGATTTTCCAGGTGGTGGTGGTGTTTGGCCGGGACAGCAGGTGGGCGACCTGCTGGGCGCACAGCAACCACAAATGCTTAAGACGCTGCTCAAGAAATCGCCACCGCATCAGCATAGCAATAGTAATAATCACTATAATAATACTAATAGTGTTGTTAATACTGATAATAATAGCAAAAGTAAAGTTAACCAGCAGCAGCAGCAGCAGCAGCAGCAGCAGCAGCAGCAGCAGCAGCAGCAGCAGGTGGAGGTGGTGTGTGGCAGCACCCCCCGTGCGCGCCAGCTGCCCAACCTGTCAGGGCGACTGGCAGCTCTCATACACCAAATAAGCAACGCTGGCAACGCCAACGCCAACGCCAACGCCAACGCCAGGGCCAGGGCCAAGCGCAGGGCCGGTCACGGTGCAACAGCAGCAGCAGCAGCAGCAGCGGCAGCGGCAGCGGCAGTGCATGCGGGAGCGGTAGGCATGGAGCCAGGGCACAGTCGGGCAGGGGGAATGGTGACGCACGGACAGGTTGTCTTAACGCATGGCCTGGCGCATGGCGTAGAGGGTGGGCGAGAGAGTGCCTTGGTCCCGCGGGTGCAAGTGACAAGCGGTGATGGGGGGTTCACACGTGGTCTTGGTGCGGGCGGTGGTGTGCTCTCTGCACTGCCGAGTAGCTGGGACGAGGACCCAGTGGCGGCTCATGGAGAAGAGTCGGGCAGCAAGCGGCGTGCAGCGCAGGGGCGAGAAGGGCCGCCAGAGTACACAGCGGGGCGGGTAGCGTGGAACGTGGGGACGCAGCACGGAGTGGAGTGTGTGGTGGGTGGAGCTATGGACGCAGGGCAGCAGCCGCTGTGCCAGGTCTATCCCTCCACACCATTCAGCACTCAGTGCGCTGCTACTCCCACTGCGCTGCCCGCCTTCCCTCCCAACCCCACTAGCGGTGGTGCTGCCGATGCTACCGCTGCGGCAGCAGGAGCTGGTGTACCTGCAGGCCCATCAGCACCCCATGCGTGGTTGCTGTCAGGCTCAGGTGCACAGGGCCTGTCACGAGAGGTGGATCCGTTTGTCCTCGCACAGCACATCAGCCGCTGCGCGCCTGCTCTCGCCCGCACCACTCCCGTGCTCGCTGCACCGAATGCTCCTTTTGCCGCATGGCAGCTGCCCTGTCTAGCCGCAGGCCCAGACGCACAAGCTTCCTCCCATGCACTACCGTGTGGTTTGGCCAGAGAGAGTGTGTCGGTCCCTCACCACCTCGCGTATCGCTCTCTCCTGCCCACTGTGCTGCCCAGTAGTGCCGCTGCCAGCAGTAGCAGACTAACGGGTGGTTTTACGTCATTGCCCATACCCACGCCCATGCCTGTGCCCACGTCCATACCCATGCGCATGCCTTTTCACATGCCTGCGCATGATGCCATGGCCATGGCAGTGCCGAGGCCCATGAGCACAGGCATGCACAAGGGCAAGAGCGATGTGAGCATGGGCGAGGTGAGGCAGCTCGTGCTCGCCCTCGCTGAAGCCATCGCCACACGAGACATGGTCAGTGCTCCCTGCTCCCTGCTCACTGCTCACTGCTTCATGCCCGCCCACTGTACATTTCTCGCCTCCTCTTCTTAAACCCCTTTGACCTCCCTCCCTTTCTCCCTCCCTCCCTCCGTCCCTCCCTCCCTTTTCCCCCCTCCCGTTTTCTCACCACGACCCCATCCCTGTCCCGCTCCTTCCCGTCTTTGGTCAATACGCATCTCCCTATCACTCTCCCCGTCTCCCCCTGCCCAGCTCAACTCACTACTCCTCATTCCCCACCCCCCAATCTCCAATTCATCTTATCTAATTGTCTCAACCCTACTCCGCTGTCAACAGCAAGCGACGGCCTATCCCTCTCACAGCCATCACAACCCCTCCATCCTCGCCCTTCCCTCACCCGGCCCGGCAGGAGCGGGTGGCAGGGCTGCGGGCGCGCGTGGCAGCAGCAGCGTGTGCGGAGGGGAGGGCGGGGCAGCGAGTGGCGCACTGCTTCCTGGACGCCCTCACATGCCGCATGCACGGCACCGGCGCCCACCGCCTCTTCAACGCTGCCTTCACCTCGCAGGTAAGTACCCGACTTCACCGGTGCACACATGCTTGAGTGCAAGCTACAGGCGCCAACGGCCCACTGCCAAGGGCCCAGTGCCCACGTGGGATGTGGTTGGCTGCCGTGGGGTATGATGGAGTACTGTTCGGTGGGGTGCGGTAACACATAAGGGGCCCGGAGGCTGTGCATTTGACGCGCCAGATTCACCTCCCATGCACGTGGTGGGTGTGTCATTCATGGTGCAGCGGCGGAGGTCAATGCTGGTGCACGATATGCGGAAGTAGAGGCGTTTGTGCTTGTGCAGATGGGACGTGGGGCGTTACTAGCGCCTCTCTCTCAACAAACATTCCTTGCCATTTTCCCATCCCCTTCTCTTCCCCTCCCCTTCCCCTTCTCTTCCCCTCCCCTTCCCCTTCCCCTTCCCCTTCCCCACTCTCCCCCGTCACCACACTGTTCTCCCCTTTCGCTCCCGCCTATCCCTTCCTCAAACCGCTCGCCCAAACCTCCCTGTGTCGATCTCAGATTCGGCCCATCACCACTTTCCTCTACTCCCCACGTTGCACGGCTCACCCACTCCTTAGACCCTGCCGTCTCACTCTCTCCCCTTGGTCGCTCCAATCCATCGTCTTTTGTCCCTCCCCATGTTCTCCCCCTCCCCATGCTGTTCCCCTTGCCATGCCCTCCCCATCTCATGCCCTCCCCAACTCATGCCCTCCCCATCTCGTGCTCTCCCCCTCGCCTTGCCCTCCCCATGTCATGCTCTCCCCATTCCATATCCCTCGTCTCTCATCCCAGGGCATGCAGCAGGCGCGCCATGTGTATTTCACCACCACGCCCTTCGTCCCCTTCCTCTACGCCACCGCCTACTCCGCCATCCTCCACGTGCTCTCCCGCTCCTCTCGCGCCTCCCCTTCCACTGTCATCACCACACCCGCTCATGGCCCTGCTTTTGATCTGTTCGCTTCTCACAGCACCCCCTTGTCCTCCTCCTTTGCCGCGCGTCCTGCCAGCACAAGCAGCTGCAGCCACTGCAGCTACGGCTCTGGTGGGGTTTCTTGCCCTGGGAAAGCAACAGCTGGGGAATCTACAGCGCGGGAAGTTGCGGAAGCAGCAGGAGCAGAAGTGGGGCGAGCAGCGGGTCACGCAGGGGCGAAGAGCCGAAGGCAAGGGGTACGGGCGCTGCACATTGTCAACTTTGGGGTGTTTCTGGGTGGGCAGTGGCCGCAGCTGCTGCACCGCCTTGCATGCCTGCCAGGCGGCCCCCCTTGCAGCGTGCGCATCACAACCATTGAAACCTGCTTCCGCGCAGGGCGCACAGCCACTCCCCGCGCGCAGTGGTGTAAAGGAGGGGGCGAAGGGGTAGAGAAAGGGGCAGGGACAGGGGCAGGAACAGGAGCAGAATCAGGAACAGATGGTTTCATGGGCAGCGGACTGGGAGGCGTGCGGGTGGAGGAAGTGGGGGTTGAGGAGGACCGGTGCTGGGTGGCAGAGTGTGAGCAGCAGAGGCATGAAGAGCTGGGGAGGAAGCTCACAGCACAGCTGACAGCTGAGGCAGCAGCAGTGGGCATAGAGAGGTTTGAGCACCGCGTGGTGACGGTTAACAAGGACAACCTTGCGGATAGTCTCTCTCAGGTGGAGGGAAGGCGGAGATGGGGGGGTAGGAAGGGCTGGGGTGATGTTGGGATGAGAGGGAGGATGGGTGGACAGGTGCAGGATGTGGGTGTGGAGGAGAGGATGGGAGAGGGGTGTGAGGAGGAGGGGTCGGAGGAGGAAGAGGAGCAGGAGGTGGTGGCGGTGTGCTGCTGCATGGAGTTGCAGTACTACCACGACAGCTCTGTCATGCGCAGCAGCCCGAGAGATGCCGTTCTCAAGGTGCACTGCTGCTGCCTGCTGCCCGTTGCCTGCTGCCTGCTTCCTGCTGTCTGCATGATGGTGTGAGGGACAGTGCGCCTTGGCTTCTTCTGATGGTTGCATCGTTATGAGCGGTGGTTGAAATGACAGCCTCAACCTCGCCGCCATGGCTGCCACCAACCTGCCTGGAACTCGCATTACGTGAAGCATGTTTATCAGCTGGCTTTAATTTTACCGGCTTTGGATTCGCTACACCTTTACGAAGAAGACTATACTTTTTATGTGTTCATCAGACGAACATTGTTCGGTCTTCTCAAGGGTGTCTCGCGCTGGTTCTAGCATCTAAGCCCGATGTTAACACGTGGTTTCCTAGTTTCTGGTTGATTATCAAGGAACAACCTAAGTTAACAACCATTGGCTACACAGATGCTACGCAGCGGGATGATCCCGAAGTGATATCCCCTACAGTGCAACATCTATGTCAAGAGCAATGGTCGACAACTGGAGGCTTCAAACTATTTAACTATAATGTGCTCAGACGACCGGCTCATCAGTTCAGTCGCCTCTATCAGCTTCTGCTTCAAGGGCTTTTGCCTGGTCTTTGTCATCATCGCACGATGCCTCCGAAGAACTCGCGCTCTAAGACGGCCGTTGACGCTCCTGCTGTTGGGAGTGACCCTGCAGGGAAGACTTCGCCAGGCAAGGGAAAGGAGGTTATTGACAATCTTCCGTCCGAAGCGGAGGTGACGGCCGGCAGCTCTGGACTCACCCTTGAGGAGAAGTTGAAGGCGCTGGCTTCGGTGGCCCCTGACGACTCATTCATTGAGGATGACTCGGACGAGGAGCTCGACATTGACGTGTCGAAGAGCTCTTACCCGCATTTGCGCTTCACGGCGATCCTGCTTTTCCCGGTTATTCCTTCCCGCGAAGTTGCTTCGGTCATCCTGACAGTGAAAACGCTGATGAAGCGAGTCTGGTCTAACCTGCTCACTGACGATGTTCTCGCTTCGGTGAAGTTTCAGGAGTTGCTTCCTGCCTTTGTTGCAAAGACCCGTTATAGTCAGCTTCAGGTCTCCTTCCTGCATGAATCCGACGCGGTGAACATCAAGCAGACCTCGGTGGAACATAAGCGTCAGAACGGCACGACGCTTCACTGCTTCTGGCTGCATCAGGAGGACGCGGCTTACCTTCGCAAGAAGGCTTCGGGCCCGCAGCTTCTGGAGGTTTTCTTTAAGAATGTTCCTGCCGACATCCCGCCTGAGCTGGTTAAGGAGATCATGGTGACTCACCCGCTCAAGATCCGGAAGCAGTCCGCTTTTGCCGAAGGTCACTGCTTTCACCGTGTGCTGCACCCGGTCACTGGCGCTGATACGGATAAGGTCAAGGGTTTGGTGGTCCCGCACGCCGGCGATAAGCACCGCTGGCGCCACGAGTTCCGTCATCAGTCGCTGGGAGGAACGACCCTGTTGGCCCACTACCCGTTGCTATCCTGCGCGCTCTGTGGTGGACATCATTATGACAAGTTTCATAATGCGTTCATCACGGAGCGTCAGAATAACATAGGGAAGTGGAGTTTAACTGTGGGACGGGTTCATAGGATCAATGGTAACTGCATCTCACCTTTTCCGGGTTGTCATTTTGTTTTACCTGCCTTAACGGTTGCTGACGCGTCGCATGCCTCTCGCAGCTGCCTCTCTCCGCGCTTCACCGCTCATCACCCCGTTACTGTTGGATGCGACCTTTGTGCTGATCTCTACCGGGAGCAACCGCGAGGAATGGCTGTGTACCCTAGAGAGCTGCGGGAAGGCCCACGGCAAGTCCTTCATGGCTGCAGCAGATCATATCACGGCGGCGAGTCACTTGCTGGGCCTGGAGAAGCTGGGTGCTGCCACCCGCTGTTCCCTGGAGAAGCTGGGTCTGCACGTCATCCGCAAGGAGTACCAGATCTGAGAACACCACCTGCGCACCTGTTGCAGTGTAGAGTTGCTGTGGAGCTGTTGCTTATCTGTGTAGTCGTAGCTGGCTGTACCTGCCCGTGGATGCGATGGGGCTTGTCATCAGTGATTAAATGAATACGAAGAGTCTGTTATCATTTGCAGGCCTGAATGTCAACGGCCTGGGGGACGGAAACAAGCAGCAACGCACGAAATCATGGATGAGACAAGCAGCAGATGTCATAGTGTTAGCTGATGTAAGGCTCTCGGAAGATCACAGCTTCTGGAAATCTCTGAATCAACCTACCTTTTTAGTCGCTCCTCCTACCTCCAAAGCCGGGGGTGTGGCTCTTATCTGCCGCAGACCCGGTCTCTCCCTCCATAACACGCTCGTTCACCCGTCAGGCAGACTTGTCGCGGCGGAAGTTCGGCTTGATTCCTTCAGCATCACTCTGCTGGCTGTCTATCTCCCGGCGGATGCAGTCGAAAGAAAGGCTTTCGTCCGTAGGACGCTGGGCCCGGTGGTTGATTCGGTGCAGCCGGGGTCACACCTGCTCATCCTGGGGGACTTTAACCTGGTGGAGGACCCGCTGTTGGACAGAACGTCGAAGAAAGGGTCAACTAAAGAGAACGAGGAGCTATATCAGCGGTGCACAGCCTTCAATGTTTCGGACGCTTTCAGGGTGCTGCATCCGTATAAGCGGGAGTTCACCTTTTACTCGTGTGCTAACCAGTCCAGCTCGCGGATTGACAGGGCGCTCATTTCGCAGTCGCTGCTGTCGCACGTGGAGTTTGCCGCGCACATCATGCCGACGGACCCGATCTCGGACCACAGTTTTGCGGTGAAGGTTGCCCTCAGGATGGATACACGAGTGAAGCTGGGTCCCAGGCTTTGGAGGCTGCCTGCATACATGGTTGGTCGGCCGGGGGTCAGAAAGATTATTGAAGCAGTGGAAAGGCAGGTGGCGTCAAGTGGAGAGAACTTTGAGCTGCTGATCTCGCGGCTTAACGCCGGCCTTAAATCGTACGTGAAGGAAGAACGCAAGCGGGTTAAAGCCACAATGACCCACCTTCAGGATGCGGTTGCGGCGCTGAAACAAGCGTGGATGGGTGATCCGGGGGACGACCGGCTGAAGGCTTTGTTGGCTGAAAAGGAGTCGCAACTCCGCGGTTATCAACTGGCGAGGCAGGAGAGGCTGCATGAGATGGCTGGCATGAACGAGGCGGTGGCTGGGGAGATCGCGTCCCCGTTCCTATCAGGGAAGATTAAGGCAAGACGGGAGAGAACGCAGATCAAGGAGCTGAGTGCTGGAGGTGTGACGGTCACTGATAATAAGGCGATACTGGGGGTTGCGTCGCAGTTCTACAGAAACCTCTTCGGTCACGACAGGCAGCAGATTGAGTCGAGCTGGGTTCCTGCCGTCGGCAGAACGCTGTCGCCGACAGCTAGGGAAAGGCTGACGGCGGCTTGGACGGAGAAGGAGGTGAAAAGTGCTTTTCATGCGATGGCGAAGAACAAGGCTCCAGGGAATGATGGGTTGCCGAAGGAGCTGTTTGAGGAGCATTGGGATGTGTTGGGCAGGCACTTCATGGCGCTGGTGGAGAGTTTCACCGAGACGGCGGAGCTCCCTGCAAGCACAAAGAGCGCTGTCACCATTCTGCTACACAAAAAGGGCGGAAGGGATGCGGTGGAGAACTATCGCCCAATCACGCTTCTGAGCTTCACTTACAAGGTGTTGGCGCGGGTAGTTGCAGACAGAATGAAGAAGGTCTTGAGCGAAGTGATTTCGCCGGAGCAGTACGGTTTCCTGCCGGGCCGGAGGCTTTCGGACGCGGTGGGGTTGGTCGCGGATGTGATTGACGCTGCTAAGAATGAGCTGGCGGACTGGTACCTCCTCCTGGTGGATTTCCAGAAGGCATTCGATTCAGTCTCGAGGAATTACTTGTTCCTGGTGTTGGAAAGGATGGGCTTCCCCGGCAGGTTCGTCGGTTGGATAAAGGGCCTGCATGAGGAAACACAGACACGGCTGTTAGTCAACGGCTGGATGGGAGAAGTGGTTGAGGTGGTTTCGGGGGTGCGGCAGGGCTGCCCTCTCGCGCCGTACCTTTTTCTGTGTGCTGTTGAGCCGTTGGCGCAGGAAGCCGTCAACCGCAGCCTGGGCCTCTCGGGGGGTGCTCAGCGGCTGGCTTACCTGGGGTACGCGGACGACACGACGCTGCTCCTGCAAGGGGAGGATCAGATTGCAGAGGTTGAATGGTTGGTTGACGACTTTGAAAAGGAATCGGGGTTGGCGACCAACAAATCGAAGTCTGCCGTCTTACCTCTGGGTTGCAACCTGAATAAGCAGGCCAGCAAGACGGATGGCTTCAAATGGGTGAAGGCTGATGAGGCGGAACGCCTGTTGGGGGTCTGGGTGACGCCGGCCGGCTGCTGCGCGCCCACCTGGGAGAAGGCCTTCTTAAGGATTAAGGAGAAGCTGAAACAGTGGGAGGTGCAACACCTGACAACAGGGGCGAGGGCAGCGGTTATTAACTGTTATATCTCGCCCATCATCTTCTTTCAGGCGCAGGTGTATCCGCCTCCGGTCGATATCTGGGGGAGGGTTCTGAAGCTGACGCACAATTTTATGTCGGGGAATCGTGCCACCACGGATAAAGCTTTCATTCTGTGGAGCAAGGAGCTGCTCTACATGGCTAGAGAGGACGGGGGTGTGGGGGTGAACGATCCAGAGATAACCCTCACCTGTCTCACGGCGAGGCGTATTGGCCTACTCCTCACCGAGACAAACGAGCTGAAGCGGGACATCATGCTCAAGGCTGCTGACTTGCCGCTGGGGCTTGACACCTTCGTCTCCCACGTCAAGCTCCTGAAGTGCTGGAGCGGGAAGAGTGAGCGATGGAAGTTGGCCTGTGGTGACTTCATGCAGTCGCCGCTGGCTGACACTTCGCCGGTGCTGTCGCGGGAGGAGGCGGAGATGGAGAGGATTGTTTTTAACCGCCATATTCTGCTTAACGGAAAGACTCCGGTGGGTGGACAGAAGGCTGCGGGGAAGCTTTGGGAGGTCCGGCTTGGCGAACTATTATGCCCGGACGGCATGGGGGGCCGGCGGCCCAAGGACGTAAAGCTCCTGGCGAAGGAGCTAGGCGGCACCAAGCAAGCAAGGCTGGCGTTGCGGGCTTGGGACGCAGTGCCACAGAGCTGGAAGTTGCTCCTACTGCCTGCCGAGCAACAGGTGGGGGATTGTTCGACTCGGAGGGCCCCCCTCCAGAGGACCCTGGTGCTCAGCGGGGGGAAGCTGACGTCGTTGAAGGAGCTGAAAGGTAGCTGGCAGCAGAAGAAGCATCAGTCCGCGAAGAGGGAGCTGTGGGCGGGCAGATGGGGAGGTGACATTAATTGGAAGGAAGTCATCAAAATCCGGGACTCGTTGGTGACCCCAAACAGACCGAGGGATGTGCTGCTTAGGATTCACAGCCTGAACCTGCAGGTGGGGGAGCGGCTCTCTTTCCTAAGTGGCAAGCCGGTCTGCCCGCACTGTGGGGACTTTGAGACCCTGGAGCACTGTCTCTTCACCTGCCCGCGCATTCAGCCGGTGGTGGGGGCGGTCAGACGGGCCATGCGTTTGCTTCACCCAGCGAGGCAAGTGGAGAGCTTGGGCGATTTACTGTTCGGCAAGGCAGCATCCACCTCAGCTTTTCCCGAGGCCTCGCTGGCAGCAATTGCGGTGCACCAGATATGGGCAGAGCGGTGTGATTGCGTGTTCCGGGAGAAGCGTTTTCGGGCTCGGCGCGTTCTCAGGCGCATTGAGGTAGCCTTTCGGCTGCATGTGAAGGTGTACACCCGCGCAATGGGGAGGAAGCATGGGAAGGGTGGTGGTTTGAAGCGACAAGGGAGGATGCTGGCACTGGCGGGACCGGAGAATGTCTTGCTTGGACGTATCCGATGCATGAGCGAGAAGGGTTGGAAGTGGACCCGTAATTTCGGGGCTTTGTGGAACCTCGCGCGAGGTGCTCTACATCCGCCCTAGACGCTGCCTATGGGGCCGTTACTAGCTTCCGGCCTCTCATGCTCAGTTACGACTGACATATGTTTTCGTATACGCATGTATCATCCGTGTATAGTTAACATATTCCAAAAAAAAAATAAAAAAAAATGAGCGGTGCAACAATCACCACGGTTCACACAGCCTCTCTCCCTTTCCTCAGTCGTCTCTTTGTTCCACGCACCATCACCCGTGCCCTACAATGCTACTCTTTTAGCACACCTCTCCACATCTCTCTTCCCGTCCTCAGTTATCTCTCCCCATCTCTCCTCCCGGCTGCCCCCCTCTCTCCCTCCGTCCCCCCTCTGAATTCCCGTGTGTGCTCTACCCCTCCTGCCCGCCCGCCAGTGGATAGCATTATCAGAATCACTAGGCAAGAATGAATGAACTAGCAGAAGTTTGGGTACAAATATGAAACCCTAGTTGGGGTTGTACCCCATATTGGCTACCCCACTACAGCCTACCAACATATAACACATTACAATTTAACACACCCCCATAGGCAAAGTGGGGGAGAACAAAAGGTCACAAGACCAGTCCAGCAAAGCAACGCAAGCCCAGGGTGGATCACAACGTCACCACACTCCGAGCACAAGCAAAGGCCACAAGGCCAGTTCACATGCAGTGCTAGATATAGTACAAGACAAGCAACACAGTGATCAAAACCTAGCAAGCAAGCAACAAGATATATATAAAGTACAGTACAAAGAATGTCAAGCAGTGAGCAAGTGAGGAAACGTGGACACAAGGCCTAAAGAAGTACAGTGCCGCTGATGATCACTAGGCGGGAGCGCCTTGGTGAAGATATCAGCAGTGTTGGCCTTCGAGTCCACGTACACAAGCCGAAGCTGACCGCGCTGCTGAAGCTCTCGAGCAAGAAAGTAGCGAAGAGCAATGTGCTTCGTCCTGTGTTCCAGTCTGTGCTCCTGACACAAGGCAAGAGCCGCCTTGTTGTCACCGTACAGAACTGGAGGAGAACTAGGCCGCTCTCCCAAGTCAGTCAGCAGGTAGGTGAGCCAGCGTAACTCCTGTGCAGCCATGGCTGTGGCGTAGATCTCAGCCTCACAACTAGAGCCGAGAACAGAGGAAGAGCGGGTGGACCGCCACGAGACAGAACCAGAGCCAAGGCTGAAGGTGTAACCCTGTGACGACCGCTGCGTAGCCAGGTCGTCCACCCAAGAAGCGTCCGAGTGGCCAGTGAGGACAACTCTGTCGCGTCCTCCAAGCACCAGCCCCATGCCTGATGTACTGCACAAGTAGCGCAGCACCCTCTTAGCAGCCTCCCAGTGCTCTCGCCTGTGTCTCCCAGGCGCAACGTAACGAGCAAGGATGCTAAGAGGGTACGCGAGGTCAGGTCGCGTGCAAGTCATCAGGTACATGAGGCAGCCCACAAGCTCTGGGTACGGGCCACTCGGCTCTACGGACTCGTCCGGAGGTGGAGCTGAGAGCGAGTGGCTGGTAGCCAGAGGTGTGGCCTGTGGTGAGGAGAACTGGAAGCCGAAGCGCTGAAGGACCTGCTGCACCATGTGTGACTGAGTCAGGGTGATGGTGCAGCGTGCTCTGTCCCGGGTGATCTGCAAGCCAAGGTAGCTACGCAGCTCACCCAGGTCAGTGCAGGTGTGTCTCTTCTGTAGCTCCGACTTCACACGAGTGAGTGCCTCAGTGTCAGCAGTAGCAAAGACCAAGTCGTCGACGTACACGAGAATGTAGAACGGCGGCAGCGACGTGTCTGTGCGCAGAAACAGCGACGGGTCAGCAGTAGACGGCGCGAACCCAAGAGCCGCAAGTGTAGTCCTCAGTGTGTCGTGCCACTCGCGTGGCGCCTGGCGGAGACCGTAGACTGGCCGGCGGAGGCTCCACTGGGTACCAGGAGGAAACGACCCAGTAAAGCCAGGTGGGCGGCGCAGCCAGATCTCCTCGTGCAGGCTGCCCTGCAGGAACGCTGTGCTGAAGTCAAGAGAGTGAAGCTCGTAGTCACGCTGAGCAGCAACGTGCAGCAGAACCCGAAGAGTGGTCATCTTCGGGGTGGGGGAGAAGGTCTGGAAGAAGTCGACCCCCTGACGCTGACTGAAGCCTCTAGCAACGTAACGAGCCTTGAAGACAGGCGGAGAACCTGGCGGCCGCTTCACCCTGAAAATCCACATGCCATCGACGATGTTCGCCCCAGGAGGGGGAACCTCGTCGACGTAGGTGCCTGTGGACTTCCAGGATGCCATCTCTGCGTCCATGGCTGTCTGCCACTGAGAGGAGTAGGGACCCGAGATCGCCTCTGCGTAAGTGCGCGGAGTGGGGATGTCTAGTGCATCCGGGTCTCCCTCAGGGGCAAGCAACCAGGCCACGAGATGAGGTACAGCAGCCGCGAGAGAGTCAAAGTCCTCCTGCCTGTCCTCAAGGACGTCCGTGCCAAGAGCACACTCACCCCCGACGGACGGAGGACAGACAGACGCAGACTCAGACCCAGCAACAAGGCGAGCAGCGTAGTCTAGACGACAGGCAGCAGCAAAGTCAACCAACTCAGCGACCAGAGCAGACGCAGCCGAGGACTCAAAGGTAGGGTCAGTGACAACAGTAGCTAGGAGACGCGTGACAGTAGGGTGCTCAGCACGATACCAATCAGACTCAGGGTCCGGAACAACAGGCAAAGAGGACGCAGGAGGAGACGGCAGAGGGACACGCTGAGGAGCAGTAGAGGGACGCAGAGTCATGTAGTGAGTGCCTGGGACAGGAGGAGGACGCTCACGACGGACACGACGACCAGTGCGAGCAGTACGGACAGGCGACGCAGGACGAGACTCAGGCTCACGACGCTCTGTAAGACCTCCTGTGGGACCAGCGTAAGGAGAGGGAGCAGGGAGAGGCGAGGCAGGCGGTAACTGTGACTGCGGCTGGACAGTCGGAGGACACTCTACGGAGGGAGGAGGACAAGGAGGAGGAGCCTGCCCAAGAACCTGCTGAAGGAGCGGGACGAAGTACGGCCGCGGGCGCGCAGCGTCTCCAGAAGCAGAAGAGACTCCAGCGTCCGGGTCCCCAGCACCAGCAGCAGCACCACCGCCCGGGTCCTCAGCTCCAGCAGCAGCTCCACCAGGTGGGTCCACAGCCCCAGCAGCAGCACCACCCCCAGGGTCCGCAGCACCGCAAGGAAGAGCACCCCCAGAGTCGGCAGCTCCAACTCCGCTAGCACCGCCAGCTCCAGAGTCCCCAGCTCCAGCAGCTCCAGTCGTAGTGCTCCCAGAACAACCAGTCCCGGCAGCTCCAGTACCCCCAGCTCCAGCCGAGCCACTAGGACGGCGAAAGCGCCGGACGTACCAGTCACGAAGCTGCTGTGGTGTGAGAGACTGCTCAGCACCCCGAACCGGAGCACCCCCAGACGCAGCAACCCGAGGCTCCGTAGGCTCAGTAGCAGCACCCCCAGGCTCAGTACCCGCAGACTCCGCACACGCCGGCTCAGCACCCCCAGTCGCAGCACCCCCAGGCTCAGCACCCCCAAGCGGCAAGCTCTCAGGCACAGTACCCTCAGCTCCAGCACCCGTAGTCCCAGCACCCCCAGGCCCAGCACCCGCAGGCTCAGCACTCCCAGCAGCACCACCTGCAGCAGCACCTGAGTCACCTGTGACCTCGACAGGCTCAGCGACGGGAGGAGGGTCTACCTGAGAGACACCTGAAGGAGCAGGACCCTGAGGGGGAAGGGGGTCTACCGGAGGGGGACCAGGAGCAAGGAAAAGCGGCGGGGGAGGGAGGGGGGCAGTACGGTAGGGGAAGAGACGGTAAAAAGGGACCGACTCGTCAAAGGTGACATCCTGAGAGGCGAAGACCCGGCGCGAGGTGGGGTGGTAAAACTGCCAGCCCGGCGCGTCAGGGACAAAGCCAAGGAAGACACAGGGAAGCGTGCGGGAGGAGAGCTTGTCCGCGGACGTATCGCGGACAAGGGCACGAGCACCCCACACCCGGAAGCGCGACGCATCGCCAACCTCCCCCGTCCAACGCAGTGTGGGCGAGGTCTCCGGCAAGGAGACACGGGGCCAGAGGTTGAGCTGATGCGCGGCGTACCGGACAGCAAACGGCCACAGAAAATGGGGAGCCGCCGCGTGGACCAAGGAGGTACGAGCGACCTCCATGACCAGGCCAATGCGGCGCTCAGCAACCCCATTCTGCTGTGGGGAGTCCGGAAGCGTGAAGGTCTGCTCGATGCCCTCCGCCTGACAGAAGGTCCTCAAGAGGTCGGAGGAAAACTCACCACCTCTGTCAGAGTGCAGACGCAGGACAGGAAGATCCGTCCGGAAACGGC